GTCTAGCGCCTCACCTCTCATCGATAAGCTATCTGATCTCGACATCAAGGGCATTCTCGATGCACTTGGCCCCATCCTCAAGAAGGACGCTATCGAAGGTCTCGTTGGTCTTTTGAACAACGCGGAAGACCTGCTCGACAAGGAGACCGTGAAGAACATCAAGTCTCTGCTTACCAGCGCTGGTCCTCTCATCAACGAATTGAAGAAGATCGATCTCGCAGGTGTTCTCAATGCCCTTGCACCTATCCTTACCAAGGATTCTATCAAGGGCATCGTTGGATTGTTGGGTAATGCCGAGAGTCTCTTGACCAAGGATTTCGTAGACGACACCAAGAAGCTCATCTCCAACGCCAGCCCGCTCCTTGTCAGCCTCGGCAAGATTGATCTCAAGGGTCTTCTCGATTCGCTCGCACCTCTTCTTACCAAGGATTCGATCAAGGGCATTATCGGTCTTTTGGGTAACGCTGAGAACCTGCTCACCAAGGACTTCGTCTCTCAGACCAAGAGTCTCATCTCCAAGGCTTCGCCTCTTCTGGATAGCTTGGATGATGCTGATCTCAAGGGTCTGCTTGATCAAGTCGGTCCTCTTCTCAAGGAGGTTGGCAAGCTTAAGCTTCAAGACATCATTAGTGCCGTTGCACCTCTCCTCACCAAGGATTCCATCAATGGCATCGTTGGACTCCTCGACAATGCCGAAAACCTCCTTACCAAGCAGTTTGTCTCTCAGACCAAGTCTCTCATCGGAAAGGCTTCCCCTCTCCTCGACAGTCTTGACAAGGCGGATCTCGCTGGCTTACTCGATCAAGTCGGCCCTCTCCTCAAGGAAGTCGGCAAGCTTAAGCTTCAGGACATCTTGAGTGCAGTCCAGCCACTTCTTACAAAGGACTCGATCAACGGCATCATCGGTCTGCTTGACAACGCGGAGAACCTTCTCACCAAGGACTTCGTTTCCCAAACCAAGTCTCTCATTTCCAAGGCTGGACCTCTTATTACTAGCGTGTCCAAGCTCAACCTTGAGGATCTGCTTGACCAGGTGGAACCACTTCTCAAGATGCTCGGCAAGCTTGATCTCGAGGGCATCCTCAGCTCTCTGGCTCCTCTTCTCACCAAGGACTCGATCAAGGGCATCGTGCGCCTCGTTGATAATGCTGAGAATCTGTTGACATCTAAATTCGTCAACGAGACTCAGACGCTTATCTCTGGCGCTGTTCCCCTGATCTCCTCACTGGATGATGCTGATCTGCCCGAATTGCTCGACCAGGTCGGACCTCTGCTGAAGGAGATTGGCAAGATCGATCTTGTCAAGCTTGTCAAGAAGCTGTCACCTCTTCTCGATGAGATCAGCGATTTGGACATCAAGGGTATCTTTGACGCACTTGCGCCGCTACTCTCACAAAAGGGCGTCAAGGGCATTATGGATCTTCTTGGTAACGCTGAGGACCTCCTCACACCTAAGTTTGTCAACCAGACCCAGACTCTTATCGGTGATGCCGTACCTCTGGTTGAGGCGCTTAGCGACATTGATCTCAAGAAGCTCATCAAACAGCTCCAGCCACTTCTCGAGGCCCTTGGCGAGATTGACTTGGGAGATCTTATCAAGAAGGTCAAGCCACTTCTCAATGCTCTCATGAAGATCGATCTCGTCAAGCTGGTCAACAAGCTTGTGCCGCTACTTGATACTCTGGATGACATCGACCTGAATGGTTTGCTCAAGGCAATTGAGCCTCTTCTGACACCTGAGAGTATCAAGGGTATTGTTGGTCTGGTGGACAACGCAGAGGATCTCCTCACTGCCAAGTTCGTCAACCAAACGCAGACCCTCATTTCGGGCGCGGTGCCATTGATTGAGCAATTGAACAAGCTCGATCTTGAGGAGCTCTTTGAGATTATCGAGCCTCTGCTCAAGGAGCTGGATGGTCTGGATCTCACTGGTCTTGTCGACGCTGCCAAACCTCTGCTCAAGGCCCTCAAGAAGATTGACGTCCAGGGCATTGTCGATGCAGTGGTGCCATTCCTTAACCCCAAGACCATCAAGGGTCTTCTCGGCTTGGTTGGAAATGCTGAGGATCTCCTTACCAAGAACTTCGTCAACCAAGTATCGGAACTCATTGGAGACGCGACACCTGTAAGTCAAACCTCACGATTCTACTACAAAACTATGCTAACTTCTGTTTCTAGCTTGTTGCGACAGTTGGAGACTTGGTACATGCGGTACTCAAGGAGCTCGTGGGAAGGTCTTAATGTGATAATTGGGTTATGAACGTGGTTACGTGATGGGATGGTTTAATCATGTATTAATGAGTTTGGATATTTGACGTATACGATACCCTATGAATGTGCCTCTACGGCGCCATAATGAAACTGTCTTTATCCGTACCTGAGCGCTGTCAAGTGAATATGCTTGTAAGATCTCGCTATAGTCATCCTGGCATAAGACAGACGGACAGGCGATTTGCGCATGGCAGCGTAGTACCCGTCGGCATACGCCGCACTGCAACATCCATTCACTTTCTCCGTTTAGATCTCGTTCCTTTGGAGTATTCGCGATACCAGCGTCATTGAGCGAAAACAACACGCGCCATTTCTGATAAGGTGGTGACATGCATTCGCGTAGATGACTGTTCTGGACACGCCTCTATCATCATCAGCGCAACAAGGTGCCATTTTGTCTCGGTATGTCTCGGTGAGACTCCGCTACTTGCTTTGTCGCGGGTGACAAGGCCTACAGAAGAGCATGGGGGGCGTGGTCCGCCTGTAACCTGACTAGACGTGGGAGCCTGGCTCGCCGGTAACTTACTCGCAACCCTGTCCAAAACCGTTTACTTCAGGCCTTCAATTCAAGTCCCCGAGTTAAGCTAAGTTCCCCAGAATCTTGACACATGCAAAGCATCTCTCTCGGCTTTCGGTTGAAGGCCTAACTAGAGCTATCGCAAACTAGACTCATTGGGGATTTGACAAACCTGTTCGATGCACACACTTTACTCTGCAGAGAAAGTGAGGGGAAGTGATCATGTGCCGGATCTTCTGCCCATCACTTATCAGATTCGAGTCTGGTTCGTATTCACACCCTGGCCCCCCGGTCTCTTAGTGCTATACCCCGCTTGCAGATCAGAATTTCCAGGACGGCACCAGCTGGGATGGGCCTGGTTAGTGCATTCGATAGTTTGGCGGACCCTGGTATAACTTTAGAGGCCCGTCTTTCGCGCTTGAGCGACCAAATTCAGGGCAGGTCTTGGCCTAAGACCCTCGCTGTTCTGCCTTAAGTCTGAGTCGTCTGTGGAGCATCCCATTCTTCCTCTGAAGTATTGGTGACCATTGCAATTGTTTGCTGTCAATTCAATCGCATTGTCTCAGTCAATTACAATGGCTTCTGAGAGAGAACATACAGCGGCGGGCGCTGATACTTCTGCGCCTGCAGAGGCGACAAATGCTGCTGGCGAACAGAACGTGCCGGCTGCTGACGCTGCCAGCAACGACGCCTCTTCCGACGACCATGTTCGCGATGAGAAGGTCGCTGCAGGCCCAACCAAATGGCAAAAGGTGAAGAGTCATTTCTGGCGATACAAATGGTGGTATCTCTTACTTATCGCTGTTCTTCTCGCCATTTTACTGCCCCTACTGTGAGTCTCATCCCATCAATTGACGGAGTACGTCCTCTGACAATGCCCCAGTTTCACTGTCATCATTCCCGCAATTATCCAGGACATTCTCAATGACCAGAAGCTCCCCATCCGTGGCGGCGCCTTGCAGGTCCTATCCCCAACCGAAGTGAACATGAGTATCGAGACAGAATTAAAAACGCCAATCGCTGCGACTCTCAAACCAGTGGATCTTTTCCTCTACAGCAAGGAAACGAAGCCCATGTCTTCATTCTTCAAGCTTAAATTCCCAGAGGTTCACATCAAGAAACACACCAATGTCACTGTCACCAACCAGACACTCCTGGTGACCAATGAGACTGAGCTGACGAAGTGGTTCAATGTCTTTTTCGACAAACCCGATGCCGAGTTGTCGTTGGAGGGAAAGCCTGAGATTAGGCTTGGCTCTTTGAAGTATCACCGCAGTCTGAAGAAGACTGTTGACATCGCTTCTCTCAACTACCTTGACGGCTTTGCGCTCAAGAGCCTAGACTTTGATCTCAACTCCAATCGCACGACAAAGAGCAACATGAAGGGAATGCTGAACATCCCCAACTCTGGAGTCCTCCGACTTGGTCTCGGCAACTTGACATTTAACGTCATGTCGGGCGACATTAGACTCGGTCTCATCAATCTTTGGGACTTGCAGCTCTGGCCTGGTAACAACTCCGTACCTTTTGACGGAAACTTCTACTTCGACCAGCTGGTTCCCAACCTTTCTGAGATCCTCGATATGCAGAAGGGACCTCTTGGTAACGGCTATCTGGAGTTCAACGCAACAGGAAACACTACCATCGCCGGTGGTCAGCACATCAAGTACATCGAGGGAGTCCTGAACAACAAGCATATCAGGTTCACCTTCCCGGTCATCACCCTGCTGGGCGATGTCCTTGGTGGCTTGCTGGATGCCAACCAAGGTTCGCTTCTGGATATCTTTGGCACTTCAATCGGGAACTCGACGTTGCTTGAACATGTACTGGGACATTGGGATAATAACGGTGAAGGGGGCTCTTCTTCTTCTAGTAATAATACTGCAAGGAGCCTGACGGAGAGGAGTAAGACCAGAGCACCAAAGGCCTGGATGTGGAGTCTTCTTAAATTGGGCTTAACGAGGAGAAGTTTATGAGTATGATAATGTAGTCCTAGTTTTAATGCCATCTGATGCCTTTATTGCATGAATTCTATGATTTGACTGCGATTGCCACCGTGTCCCAAGTGTAAGTACTCGTGCACAGCTTCTCAATACAGCTGCTGCTGATGTCGTATCATTTGAGCAGCATGATCCTTGTTTGCCTCCAGCGCACATGCCTCCTGTTCTTTCATCCGCCCTGATTATTATCCCGGGGCTCAAATTCACCACTATTAACCCTTCGCGGGCGCAGCCTTCTTGGTTACACCACCTTTCACAAAAGCCGCAAGCTCCTCAAGGTATCGCACATTGGATGTCTCAAGCTGTTTCGATACCCACGAAAGCTTTATCGCGTATGCAGCAAGGCCACCCATAGACTCCCAGTTCTTGACTTCACACGTATCTGGTCCCTTGGCAGTAACTGTCTGAACCCGCTCAATGGTTGCAGCCCACCAGGGTAGGTAATTGCTCTTCCACGCCAGTTTACATTCCTGCTCTCCATAGTTCAGTGCCAGGATCTGTGCCATGGTCAGATAGAGTCCACGGCTGTTTCTTACATGATAAATTACCTCAATCGGGATTTTCATCATGTCTTCGCCGCCATAGGTCAGCGTCTCCAGAATTGCTCTGGTTCCAGGTTCTACCGCTTTTGAAGCCTCAGTGTCGATGAATGTGAGTCTCGGAGTCCAGGTGTTCCATTCACTGTATCTCTTGAAATCAACCATGATGTTAAATACCTCTTTAGCAGGTGCATCAATCACGATAGTGCTTCCGGCGGTGAAGACAATGCGGCCGGTACCCAGGGATGGGGTTGCTGTCGGAGTCGACCACCCAACTGCTTTTTTCACTTCCATAGTTAGAACAAAGGCTGCAGATTCAATGGTAACAGATATTAGCGACTGCTTGGAGGAGTCTATTGTCAAGAGACAAGCAGATTTGTGCCTTTATCTGTATTTCAGCTCGATGTCTCACACGTGACGTGCGAGACTCCAATAGTATCTCGAGACTAACGGCGTCAAGACATTCAGAAGATTAGCCCGGTTTAAACTTTCCTCAGTAGCCTTGTTCTCTCTCTTTATCAGTTGAGAGATGTAATACTGCTAAGTCCATACGACAGTCGTCGCAGTAATGAAGACTCGAACCATGGTGATGCTAATCACCACTCGTTGAGGGTCAGTAAGAAAACTTGGGATATTTTGTATATTGCAAAAGCATTGCACAAACTTTGAGTGTGTTGAGAAGAGCTTTAAATCACTTGTTTCTACCGTCTATATTGGGCACCGGGGGTTTCCTTGGTCCCCAAGGCTTCATCAATTGCCTGCTGGGGTTTAGGAACTTCAGTACTTATCACAGGCCTTTTCTATATTGATCTCAGACTAATAGACTTCTACTCGAGAATTGAAAGTTTGTTTGGAACCCGTAGCTACTCAAAGAGAGCTTCCCCGCCACCAAGGATACCTCGTAGGAAATCATGGGCGACGCGGATAACGCCTCAAGAGTACACCCTGTCACTAAGATGCCCTCCAGTGACTCACTCATCCAGTGGCCTGGGGTTTGACGGCGGAGTCTTCTTCAGTGTAATGGCGACCTTATCGTCAGAATGGCCAGTATCTGAAGCATTCCAACCAATGACATAAACACCGTCGATATCTGATGGCGTAGCATACCAAAGCGAAGTCATTTGCCCATTCTCTTCGACCATGACAAAAGTCCCGTAGGTCATCAGATCAGATACATAACCATCGGTATCGGCCGTGCTATTGAGCAGTTTGACGCTATGAGAAGACGACGAGGGTCCTGGGACAGCGAAAGTGAGGTTGGACCAGCTCGGCTCACGTCCTTTGGCATAGCCAGTCGTGTTTGGAGAGGCATACCATGCATCATCTCCTATAGTGACTGGACGGTGTCAACAAGATTCAAGCTGGAAGAAGGGTTGCTTACACTGAACTGGGGCTGCCTCAGAGTCGTCGATTTTGCTGAAGTTTCCAACAAAGACCTCATCTAATAGTTTCTATAAGCATGTCTCACGGTGATGGACAAACAACATACCGCCGGAAGAAAAGATGGGAAGGCCGCCAACCCCAGTCCCATAAGCGTAAAGAGAAAAGGGACCGGTGGTTTTGGCTGCAGTAGCTGCAGTCGCAAGGAAAGAAGTCGCAAAAGTGGTGAGTCTAAGATGATGCATTTTTCAGAATACTGTATCAGTGATATGATGGAGAAGAATGGGGCAACTAAGCAGATTATATGATAACAAGACGCGTTAATAGACCAATACGAGGGTTGTGGCTGTGAACCCACAAGACGGTGCCCCATTGAATACGTAATCGGTATAACGGAGCGTTTATAGATATCTCAAGGTCTTATTGCCGACGAAACGCTGACGCGGAAACGGGACACGCTATAGCCCTTCCCGTGCCTGGGATCCTCCGGACGGACCAGCCCGCCCCGATGTGACGATAAATTTGTCCTCCAGCCAATCCCATTTGTTCTTTGGTGTTTCCTATCTACTCACGAGATCGCTCCACTACTAAAGTTCTTTTTAAGCGTATGCGGATGGCACGGAATGTGGGCGGCCGGTGTTTGTAAACCTCCGTGATCGTCCCGGCAGTTGTGAAACGTCCGAGTGTCTTCACGAGACTTCATCTCTAGCAGTGACGACGACTTGCCATAGTATTGCTCTTGTAAGAGGTCCGTGATACGAGAAGTCATTTTGTAGAATGATAGGTCTGTTTTACGATGGGCAGATGAGCTTCCTAAACGGACAGCTCGAGGGCTGGACTGAAATATTTAAGAATGAGCTGTAGAGGAAGAATAGAAGTGAAAAACAACACAAATCATTCAGATCTTTTCAGTATCTCTTTTATTATCACTACTCTGTGTCTTTGAAGTCCTTGGTTGAGATTCAGCTTGTGTCGGTAGAAATGAAGCTCTTGCAATTTCTCCCGGCTGGCATTTTCTGCCTCAGCCAAGTTCAGGCTCGAAGCCCCCTTCACCAGCTGGAAAGCCGCGCCACTTGTAGTGGCAACACTGCTTCTACTCGCTCAGAGTGGTGCGACTACTCAATTGACACGGACTACAGCACTGAAGCTGTAGATACCGGCGTCACTCGCGAGTACTGGCTAGAGCTGACAGACGTTACTGTTGCCCCTGATGGTTACTCTCGTTCGGCCATGGCCGTCAACGGTACCATTCCTGGGCCTACCCTCTTTGCTGACTGGGGTGACACTGTTGTCATTCATGTCACAAACTCTCTCAGCACTTCTCTGAATGGTACCAGCATTCACTGGCATGGTATTCGTCAGAACTACACCAACCAGTATGACGGTGTCTCATCCATCACTCAATGCCCCCTTGCTGTTGGGGAGTCAGTGACTTATACCTGGAAGGCCACCCAGTATGGCTCGACTTGGTATCACTCACACTGGGCTCTGCAGGCGTGGCAAGGCATCTTCGGCGGTATCATCATCAACGGACCTGCCACGGCAGACTACGATGAAGATCTTGGCATGGTATTCCTCAATGACTGGGACCATCAGACCGTTGATGAATTGTATAGCTCAGCTGAGACCAATGGTCCTCCCACTTTGGACAACGGTCTTATCAACGGCACAAACGTGTACGGAGACGACGACAGTTCCTCCCAAACAGGCACTCGCTTCAATGTCTCTTTTGAGTCTGGCACTTCCTACCGTATGAGACTTGTCAACGCAGCAGTTGATACTCACTGGAAGTTCTCGATTGACAACCATACCTTGACTGTGATCGCAGCAGACCTCGTACCTATCGAGCCATACGAAACCACGGTTCTTGACTTGGGCATGGGTAAGAGCTTTTGTACTTTATCGTTATTGGGAGTGACTAACATTTGTAGGCCAACGCTACGATATCATAGTCACTGCCGATCAAGGTGACGTCGCCGACAACTTCTGGATGCGCGCTATCCCACAAGCTGCCTGCTCCGATAACGACTCCACCGATAACATAAAGGGCATTGTCTACTACGGAGACAGTCCCGGTACGCCGTCCACTACTGCCTACGACTACACCGACGGTTGCGGCGACGAGACGGATAATATCGTACCATACATATCCAAGACAGTTGAAGATGCCAACTGGAATGACCTTGAAACAGCTACAGTTGGCAAGAACACTGCTGGTCTGTTCAAGTGGATGCTCAACAGTACCAGTATGTTGGTGGACTGGGCAAACCCTACACTGGCCCAGGTCCTCAATGATACAACGGACTTTGAGACCGATGATGCGGTGATTGAACTCAGCGATGGAAACCAATGGGTTTACTTCGTTATTGAGACGACTCTACCAGTGCCCCATCCCATTCATCTCCATGGACATGATTTCTTCATCTTGGCTCAAGGAACGGGTACTTATTCTTCGTCCATAAGCCTGAACACAGACAATCCTCCTCGACGAGACACGGCTATGCTGCCTGCCAATGGGTATCTGGTCATGGCTTGGGAGACTGACAACCCTGGCGTTTGGCTTTGCCACTGTCATATCGGTAAGTCAAAGAGGTCTTATATCTGGAGCATTGCTGACTTTGTGAAACATTAGGCTGGCATACATCTGAGGGATTTGCGTTGCAGTTCCTCGAGCGTTCAAGTGAGATTGCTAATATCTCTACATCGAGCTATGTTTCGGATGTTTGCGATGGCTGGAGTACTTTCCAGAGTGAGTCGTCGATTGAGCAGGAGGACTCTGGTGTTTAATACTACAAACATCTCTACTGTATAGCAGCTATTGGTTGTTTACTGAGACTGAGGGCATAATTACTTGTTGATCTGTGGCTACAAATGTACTTCTCTTACAGGCAGACATGGCCAACTACATCCCCTATAGCAAACGATCCATACCAGCCTCATCAACCTTCAGCACCGTCCAATTCTCCATTCGCTTAGCGCCAAGCTTCTCGTAAAATCTCAATGCCCTCGCGTTGTCCTTTAAGCAGAGCCACTCCATCTTTACGCAACCCGCTCTCTTAGCCGCTGATGTCATAGCTTCGACCAACTTCCGGGCGTATCCGTGAGGTCTGTATTCTGGGACAACGTAAATCTCCTCCATGCAGACTCCAGGAGCCGCTCCCCATGTCGTGTAGTTGAAGAAGTAGATCAATAGTCCAGCAGGCTTTCCGTCTGGTGAGAAGGCCAAGATGGGATGTCCGATACGGTATTCGGGAGAGTCGGTGACGTCTGATAAGTGAAGTGTCTTGGCGAGAGCCTCTTCTGTTGCAGTGACGACAGTTCCTGGTGCTTGCTCTTCTGCGCCAGCACGTATTAACCTTAAGATAGTAGTAACATCTACGTTGATAATTAGTAGAGGGACCAATAACAGTCTTCATAATTAAGTACCTTGAGAAGCCGCAGGACGGATTTCCGGGGACGAGGCCATATCGAATAACGAATCTTCAACGTCGCTCCAAACAATCAATGGACAGTTCCTCAAATATCAACGATCATGTCTTATTTTCTCAGATCATTGGACTTTGCGATGGTTCCACCTTATTTATATTAACCTTATAGTGAAGTAGCTCTACGCCCTATTCATGACAGGTGGAGTTTGCTTGCGGGGCTCAATGACTCAGCTTGTCAACCTGAATGACTCTTTCGATCCGAAGAATTAAGAGAGAAGGACATACAATCCACTAAATAAGATATTGCGCCAATAGCGCTCTCACGGACATCCATGACGATAGGCCGATTTGCCAATTGATAGATCAAAGCCCGATGTCGCCCAAAACACTACTGAAAATACCTTGCGAACGAACGACAGCCCGAGAACTTGTTGTCATTTTTGTTCAGAGGTAATTGAGTGATAATTCAATAAATATCTCTTTTGAAGACTTAATAGTATTGAATTGCAAGAATGACCGGTATCAAAATGATGATAGGAACGATTCACCGCGAACTGCACTGAATGCAGCCATATGCCTTTGCCCAGCTAAAGAATGCGTTATTGTAGAGGCAAATTTTGCTTAGAAGCCCCTCAAATCCGTCTAAACGTGCTCGGTATCTACGCATTAAAGCCGAGAGCAACTGATGGCAAGTAAGCCTCCATTCATCAAACTTTCTGGCACCAAACTATGGGATGACTCCACTGCAGCCCATAAGGACAGCAGCTAGTGGCGCCTTCGCCGAAGGAACTAGGCAAGTAAAGTTTCCCTCGGTAAGTCATTTCTTTTGATTGACTGTTCTTGCGTATTGTGTGCTTTACCGAAATGCTTCGTAGTCAAAAGTTTAAAACTTTGCTAGCCAGTAATATTACCGTGTTGGTCTTAGACAGTTCTTGGTTTGAGTCTCGACCATTCGTCTGCTCGTTGACTACCTTCAGTCTTATCAGTTTGACGTCTCTAAACCCGTGTTACACCCACTAGAACCAATCATCACTATCAGCACGACCCAGAAATATTCTGCTATCATTTCACGACATTCCAAGGCTGTTGAGCCATTTTTTTCGGCCCATGCTGTACCTATATTTCGTCTCCATTATCGACATCACTCATTTTTCTTTTTCCCCCGTGGTTCTCGAATGGAGGAACAGGGCCAGCACGAGCAAGCGTACTTCAACATCTAATCAATGTAAAGGGTACTGGCTGCCTACCAGATCGTCTGGTCAGGATGAACTCGACTTCGCCTCTGTTGTCCTCCAGTGAGGCGTCCACATCCTACAGCAGCCTGATCGAATTCCCTCCTCTGATTCTCGATAATGGTCGGAGGCGAAGAGGGACAAAAAAGAGTTTGCGAGCCAAGATACAGATTCCTCTACTATGCTACGCACGTTTCATGGTGACGATGGCATACTTCTCCATCTTCCCATACGTAGCTCTGATGATACAGCACAATAGCAGTTCACGGGCCACTGATATCGGAACTTACGTCGGCTTCTTTGAAGTACTATTCCTGGCTGCGCAGGCTCTGACATCGATCTTCTGGGTCACCATGGCAGACAAGCTTGGTGACAAGACGATACTTATCTGCGTTCTTCTTGGCACGACTATCGGCTCGGTCATCTTCGGCTTTACTTCGTCACTTTGGCAAATGGCACTCTGTCGATGCTTCATGGGAATAGTATCAGGGAGTGACGTCGTCATCCGCGTTATGATCGGGAAACGGTGCATGACGGAGACAGAGGCTACTCATGGATTCAGCCTATCTTCCTTTGCCGGAAATATCGGAATGGCCTCTGGACTTGTTATTGGCCATGCTCTTGCAAATCATGTCAGCCACTCCTCGATCATGCTCAAAACTAGCCCTTTTATTGAGCAACATCCATTTTGTCTTCCGGGAATCACCGTTGGAATTATGAGTGCAGCTTGCGCCATTATCGCTGCACTGTTCGTGGAGGATTCCCAACGTGACGCCGACGAGTCCGACGATGATACCGCATCTACGAGCTCATTACAACCATCCTGGGCATCTCTTAGGGAGCTGATCGAGTCTCGTGGTGCCAGTAGAACAATTTCGACGTTTATCAATATAAGCCTCCTTGGTTCTGCTTTCACGGCCGTGACAATCCTCGCACTATACACAGACATCAGCCAAGGCGGCCTGGAATTGTCAGGTCACGAAATTACGCTGTACATGATCTGTCAGGGCACTTTCGCAACATGCTGGCTGTTCATGATATACCCAGCTTTATACCAACACTATAGTACACAGAGAATCATCTCATCAAACCCGGTTATTTTTCCCTTTTTGTTTCTGAGTTTGAGCATCATGAATGTATTGGTACGCTCTGGTAGCGAACCTGGTTTCTTCCTATTTCGGGTCGTTTTTGGCGTGACGACAGTCATGGGGCCCGCTATCTATATGGCAGTTACAGCAGTCTACGTTGGCCTGCAAGAGGTGTCACCCAGCCCTCGAGAGCTTAGTTTACTCAATGGGGTCACAGAAGCGGCTTCTTGTCTTCTAAGACTGATAGTCCTATTGATAGGCATTTTGATCTATGCGGTTTGTAATTACCATAATGTGACAGTCGGCTACCTCAACTGCACTGTCTTATTGTTGGCTGGGTTATCTTTCTTTGTTTTGATATTTCCTACTTGTACGAGGCTTACAGGAAGTTAAGGGAAGCGGAAAACACTAGAGCTCATGGCTTAAAAGTATCTATCTCAGTCAATAGAAGCTTCTTTATTTCAATATTTATTGTATCACATCGAAAGTGGCGATCAGCCGCAAATATACGTAAGGCTTCGTTGAGTAGGAGGCCACGAGCAAATAGCAGGTCAGTTGTTAATATTCTGTAGCCCTCATTCCAGCGCTACATTATCCTTCATCTTTCTGAACCTGACTACACATTTTAGCCCTCTTGGTACCGCGTCATGAGTGCTACACTGCTTCATGGACTCAGCATTGGTCACCAATGTTGCCACACTCTCATGCTCAAGATACAGACTCGCTATGAGTAGCTTGAGTTCCATAGTTGCCAACGCCTTTCCCAAACAGATCCTTCCTCCGTAGCCGAAAGGGATTAACTGTGCATCAAGAACCTTTCGCTGGTCTTCACTCCCGTCGATCCACCTGCCGGGGAGGAACCTATCAGGGTCAGAGTAGACCTCTCCATCATAGTGCAACGCCAGAACTGAGGATGTGACAATGGTATGCTCGGGGACAAAGACTCCTGCCAGTGTGCGGCCTCCTAAAGGCACAACTCTTTCGTTCTTCCCACTTGAAGATGGGTGCATGCGGTAAACCTCACGGAGGCATGCCTCGAGTGACGGGACCCGAGTATCAATGTCTACGAAGGACGAATATCCATCGTCTTGTTTAGGTAGGGCAGACAGCTCTTGGCGTATCTTGTCCTGCCACTCTGGCACCTCAGTCAATTTCCAAATGAGATATGTCGCCGTGACTGCGATAGTGGCCTCGGCAGCGTCGATGTTGTCGAGGACCTCTGCTGCCATATAGGCCACATCGATTGGCCCTTCGTGTGCATCATCCTCTCTGAGTTCCCAAAGATGACGTACCAGAGAATGCGATTCATGCAACTGCGGGTCCTTGAGAGCAGCGAAGAACTTCTTCTGGCACCAAGCCGGGAGTTCCTCATCTATTGACAGGTTTCGTAACCGAGAGCTAACTTTCTGTAATAAGAGAGAAGCATAATTGTACAGCCGAGGGCACCTATAACGCAAAGGGCCGACAAACTGTTGATACTTCAACCCCTCAAGGATTCCACGTTCGGTGCACGTCTGGTCCACCGCATAAGTTCTGTGAGTGGGTCCGAAAACCAGGAAGGTTATATTATCCAGCGCGTACCAAGATGTAAGACTGAGAACATCAACATCTTCGCCGTTTCGGACTTGATCCAGCATTGCTAGAGAGCGAGACTTGACATGCTTCTCAATCTCCGGAAGCTTGTATATAGTTTTTGCCTGGTAGAATGACGAAATGTACTTGCGCTTGATCCGATGGTCCTCATAGGGCTTGGTCGCAAATATGGAACGCCTGCCATACCCCATAAAGTGATCAAAGTAGTCGCTCTTGGCCCAACGATCCTTTGTTCCATAGATCTGTTTGGTGGCTTCAAAATCGGCTACTGATACCTCATTTGGTGAGATTTGGACTATAGGTCCGTACTTCTTGTGCAAGCCGAGAATAACATCATTCCGTCGACATAGTATCTCACATATACTCAGTGGAATACTGGAGACCTTGCAATACCATGGACCAGGGACATGACGAAGGCTGCCATTACCGAGAAGATACGCGAGCCATGCGTATATCAAAACAATGAAGACAACGGCAAGGGTAAAGAATAGGGCCTGGATGGTGAGGGCGTAGAGTAGCGTGTGTTCGGATGGGGAAAGCATTGTATATTTCGTTTAATGATGGCAGTGAGTGAAAAGCGAAGACAATGAATAGTATGGAGCTAAAATACTTACCTGTCGAGGGACTCTTTTAGTCGTCTTATTAGTATTTTATGGTCTCTACTGTTTACTATCCCAACCCTCATAGATTCATACATCTCTCTCTTGGAATACTCGAATGATGCATCCTGTGGTGGCACTGCATCGTGGAACGACCCGGATGGATGCACCAACACGTTTAATCGAAACTTAAGCATGCATCCAACGTACTGACTCGGATGTCTTCCCCTCCATTGTGACACATCACACAGGCTGTCGTGCATTCTCCTTAGTCACTGTAAGACCCTATAACGATGATTCGAAGAATTACTCCCCACGATCTTCGGGTTCCGTCCTTATACCCGCATGGAGCGGCCTCGACATTGAAGACGCCATCGGGGAGCAAGAAAACATCAGACCTTGCTTTATGATGGGTGTCAAAATAGGATTATCAAAAGCTATCCTATACTTGTGGTAAGTTATCTAAGCCTTTTCAAAATCCAGGATCAAGGTCATAAGTTTTTTTCCTCCCTAGGCCGCTTCAGGGAGATTGAAGTCGCTAATTGCATCTAGTAGTCCCAGTCTTGAGAACACATGACTGTTGATATCGTTTTCATAAATCAAAGAAACTCTTCACTGCGAATGTATAATGGTACCCAGCTAGAGCTAAAAAGCTGCAGGCTCGATGTAATGTTTGTAATACTATTTCTGCTTTGGGACGAGGTACCTAAACGAAATTCTGCGCGACATAAATCTTCGTATTGTCTCTGCATCCAACGATCAGTGTTCTTCCGATGGTACAAGTGTCACCAAGGTTAAGCTGAGATTGGTGATATCAATGAGGTACATATTTATAATAACATTACCAATTTCCAGTCCCCCACGCTTTCATCTCTTTCCCTTCTGAGCTCTTGACGCTTTTGGTAAACAAGCATCCAAGTGGCACTCGATCTATTGCCATTGCTTCTTCCGTATTGTGCCATGACAGTTGGCCATGGCCAGTGATTATCATTCTGAAGCGTTAGGTATAATGTCGCCTCATTGAAGCACGCTGTGAATATTTCGGTTATGTTTGACACGCTTCAGCGAAATGCGACCGAGTATTTCCAACCAACTATTCTCTCGAGGTTATTTACTTCTACTAATCTTCTCGTATATACATAAAGAGTTGCATATCTTTGCCATTCTATGCCCCATTGGTACCTTGGGCTCCGTTACTACCATTGCGGATCTCCAGGGCGTGCTCATCGCTTGGCTTACGGGCTCCCTTCAATGTCACCTTTGTTTCTTCCCACTGCTCAAATCGTCTATAAGCGATTGGTGCATCCTCCAAGCTGTACTCATTTGAGAAAATGAAACCAGGCCTTGCCCTTCCACTCTTCACAAGCTCCACTAGAGCCTTAATGTTCCCCTTAATGTCCACAAGTCCACCTTGGATGCGGATTCCCTTGATCCACGCCTCAGCCATCGGAAACTTGATTTCAGCCTTCAAGTCGGGCTTGTGAACTACTCCCCTGCCACCAAATTCGGTGACCAATGCAGTGATATGTACGCCGATGACGCCAATGCCTCCACCAGAGGTAGTGATCTTCACAGCTTCGCGGAGAATATAGTCCTGCTGCGGCTTGAGGTTATCATTGAGGCAGACTTCGCCCACGGCGTCGATGGACCGAGTGACTCCTTGAGGGCGTAAAGCAAGGATCTGGTCCGATGCCTTGCCTCCACGGGTAAAGTTGATGGGCTGCGCACCAATGGAAGCAGCCTTGGCGAGGCGCGAGGCAACATGGTCAATTACGTAGACATGAGCGGCGCCGCGGATTATGGCGCTGTATGCAGCCATGAGTCCAATGGCACCAGCACCGAAGACAGCGACAGTATCGCCAGCTTCAAAGCCGGAGAAGTCAATAGCTGTCCAGCCAGTAGGGAAGGAATCAGTAAGGGGCAGCCATTCCTTGTCATCAAGCTTCTCTGGAAGCTTCGCCAAAGATGAGTCAGCCCATGGGATGCGAGCATACTCAGCTATTCACAAGTGTCAGATGCACGAATGAAAAGATAAATGAGGAAGACGTCTCACCTTGTAGTCCTGTATCGCCATGGAACATTCCACCAAGGCCAAGGCCAATAATAGGCTGATCTGCCACAAGCATTGTGGGCTTGGGTAGTAAGTTCCCATCCTCTGCAAAGGCCAGAATCAGAACTCGGTCGCCAGGCTTCAAAAAGTCCACGGCTGGGCCAACTTCCTCGACGATTCCAACGGCCTCATGACCCACGCCGAACTTCTCTTCGGTCCCAAAAAGACCGTGGTAGATATGAAGATCAGAGCCGCAGATAGCCGATGTGGTAATACGAACAATTGCGTCCTCTGGCTCGATGAGCTTGGGGCGTGGGATGATGTTGACAGACATGTCGCGGACGTTGCCCTCCCACTGGACAGCACGCATAAAACCCGTTTTCGAGAAAGAATCCATATTGAAGAAGAGTAATTTTATAGGGCACTGAAATTGTATATGCACGAAATCTTTGCTTCGAGTTTGCTCTTTTGCTATTCAATGGGTATACATAGCCATTTATACCAACTGATCCCTGTCAACAACGATTCCGGTCGGGTTCTTAAAGGAGGAAATGACGTGATATAGACAAATTCTTTCGGTCACAAGATTTTAAGCTTAGCTGAGATATGTAAGAAATGCTACCCTTGGGGATGCTTTGGGATATGGTAAGCGGAAAGAACTTGTGATGGGAACCGTCAGCGCCCAGCCTCACCGCGTAAGATTGGTCGGGGTAATACGAGGCTATGTTCAGAGAGC